GCAAACTCCTCGAGCGTCGCACATATCAGTACATGCAGACTGGCAGCAGGTCTCCTACACGCGCTGACGTTTTAAACCCCCCTCTCTCTTTCTCTCTCCCTCGTCAGAGCCCCCAATCTTTCTTTTTGCACTCTTTCCCTCATTTCCCCCCTATACTCTCTCTCTCTCTCTCTCTCTCTCTCTCTCTCTCTCAGTATTCAATTCAATTCAAGTGAGCTTTATTGGCATGACAGTATTGCCAAAGCATTGACCATTGCATGAACAAAGAACAAATAATGATTATATAATACATAAACAAAACAACAATAGATCTAGTAGATAATCAGTAGATAATTACTCTCTCTCTTTCTTTCTTTCTTTCTTTCTCTCTCTCTCTCTCTCTCTTGGTAAATACACCAGGATCAGAATTTTTTGGGACAACCTTCCCATTAACCAATCATTAGCTATTCATTTTTAGGGTTAAGGTTAAAAGAATGGTTCACCCAAAAACTCAAATTTAGTTTTTTGTTGTCCTCATGTCGTTTCAAACCTTTCTTTCACCCTCAGTCACCATTCGCTTTCATTACATTTTTCCCCCTGCACTGAGAGTCAGTGTTTACTGAGCCTTTTTACAGAAAAACAAAATAAACATGTATGGGTTTTGAACAACGTTGAGGTGAATAAATTATTATTTTGAATGTTTTTGGATAACATATCTCTGTAAATGTATGATTGGTTGATAACTGACTGATATGCACCTGCACTCTCAGTGCAGGGGGAAAAATGTAATGAAAGCGAATGGTGACTGAGGGTGAAAGAAAGGTTTGAAACGACATGAGGACAACAAAAAACTAAATTTGAGTTTTTGGGTGAACCATTCTTTTAACCTTAACTGGCTGGCAACAGGTTATTAAACCTGATGCCAGCGGTACCTTGCCACAAGGTACAGGCTATTCTTATTGGTTTGTCTGCATCAACGTACCTCTGTTATCTGTTTTGGGTTATTTGTCTCTTTTTTTGTCACCAAAGATGCTCTCCTCTCCACCTAACTGGTAATTGGCCCTAGGAGAGGCCTACTTTATTGATTTGAAACAGCCCCGGTATCCTCTGCCTTACTGTGTGAGTCTAATATGAAATCAGATCACTTGCACTAGAGCCAGCTGAGAGCACTTGCTTGATTGCCACACTTTTGTTTTGTTGGCTTTCACATCTATGCATGACGGGAACAAAACTACTTTGTTAAAAGAAAAAAGAAAGAAAGAAATGAGAACAGAAATTGAAATTGCAGATATGTCTTATTTTCGTACATAAAACGTTTTGAGGGAATGACGCATTTGCACAAATTGTATTTTAATGTGACCTACTTTTCCTTGCAAAAAGTGCTTGACGTAAATGGAAATATATGAGCATCACACAGTCAAAGACATTTTTTTTTTTTTTTTTTGGGGGGGGGGGGGGGGGACTCAAAGGTGATAATTTCCCTCTTTTTAAACATCATTAATTCTCCCTCCTTTTGGTCTTTTTTCTTCTTTCTATTTCTGTGCCTTCTTGCTTTTCGATCTTCACATTTTGTGACACAATCTCCAGGGTTTCAGTCAAAGAATTTGACCCTTTGCCCTCTTGCCATTCCATTAGCAAGAAAACACACTTCCACTTAATCATTCACACACACACTGCTTTAATGCCCAATATTAATATCTGACAGGGGATGTACAGTGACCTCAGAGGGTCAAAGGTCACTTTCCTGCTATTTCTAAGCCTGCACACACACAGAGGATTATAACAACAGACTTATTAAGCCATTTCTTCCCCTATTGCTATTTGCAGTGAGATGTTTTTGGGTGACTGTTATGAAACCTGTCAAAAACATTCAAGGTTATATATATGTCACCCCAAAATCATAACTAAGTAATAAAATTATTTGCATCTGTATTTGCCTTTAATATATGCCGATTAAAATAAAAACACTTTTACATTCAGGCTATAGAAAATAATGGGAATTACAAAAAAAATAATATTAATAAAACAAATAAATAAAAGTCATATTTAAATGCATTACTTTATTGAGAATATGAAGGGGAAGATTTGCTTAATCTTCATGAAAATTTCACATTTTCTATCCATTTTATTGGTCATAAAACATGCTTAATTTTCTTATGCAGTTTACATAGATTATACTTGTCTATTAATAGATTTTTGGGGAAATGTGAACTAGACTTTTTTTTTTATGTGACTCATTCTTCTGTGTTACTAAATAAACCTCATCTGCAGTATTCAAAAGTAATTATGCACAAGGATGATGTTACAAGCCATGCGGAGTGTGTATATGTGTATCAGTGATTGAAAGAGATAGTGTATCTGTTTGTGTATGTCTGTGGGCCTGCATTAGTGTAGGGATCAGGACTGAGGGCGTTAGTGGCTTTATCTTGTTTCACATTGCTAATGTCATTTGAGTGAGCTGTGTAGGAGACAGCGAGTAATCCAATGAGGAGACACTGTGCAATGCAAGTTATGAGCATGTTAGAAAGGACACTAGCTCCATCTTGTTTTGAGTTTTGTTACTACACCCATTGTGGAGAAAATTGTCCAATTGATCTTCAATGGACGTGTTTGAAATTACTAACAGCTGTCTTACTGCTGCACTGCTCAGCACTCTTAAAGGTTTGAGGCTGCCTAAAAAGCCAGCGAGCTTTAGAGACGACACCAGTAAATATTCTATGAATACTATGCATATATCTCTATAGAAATTAATTCACAGCTCTTATCAGATGCCATTTTTATAGTTTCAACCAAAAGTAGACTCAGAATTGTGAGATTTAAGGCAGTGTATATCTGTGCTGCCTTCAAACAGCATCCAGATGAAGGCATCTTAATAGATAGGATGTTATGTGGACATTATATTCAGATGTCTTGATGTCTCTCTTCTTCCATATATTTTCTG